GACATGTTCCCCCAGGCGATTATCCGCCTCCACCCCCTCCTCCTTTGTAACTTGCCATTAAAATTGCAATATCTGATTTCGCAGAAAACTCTTCATAATCCAACGCTCTCTCCCCCTCTCTCTCTCTCTCTGTTCCTCCCGCTGCCTATCACCCTCTCTAAACAAAAGCAATTTTTATTATGAAAATATTTTTAGTGTTTGTTTACCAGCTACCGTTCATTTTTTTATTGCCCCTACCCACCCCCTCACACAGTCCATTGACATTGCGATAACTATAATCATCAGCAGAGGGGGCGTGAGGGGGATTATAAAAAATATGTGTGTGATTCTATTGCTCAATAATGGCTGACTGATGATATACTCGTACATATATGCATGATATTCCTTCGGGACAAAATAGGAAGAGATTTATGACCGATGGCATGAAGTGAATTTATTTTGGCTGAAAAGCAGAACAATTATGAATGGGTAGTAAATTATGGAGTTTATAACCCATATTATCATGACAAAATGGGGGTGGGGGAAAGGGACACATATTATTAATTTATTTTGGCCAACGGAATTTGCGACTTAATTCAATCGACATCCTAAATCCTATATTGGGAATCAATTTTTATCTATGGGCTAAAACGATGGGGCGATTGATGAGTGCACACCCCTTTTGTGGAATGTGGGCAGGAGATGAGAGGCGGTTCAGATGTCGGAGTGTATCATGATGACGTAAATGCCTTGAAATAGATTAAATGAAGCAAAACATCTGTAACAGATATTACTCCCACAATGTCAATAATGGCTATATGTGTAATCACAGGGCAGGAGTTTGTCAACATCAAGAATCTCTTATAAAATAATGAAGTGGAAAATTTTTCAAAATTTCCCTTAACATGAAAACGGGAATTTCAGGATATGACTTGAGAAATGGTGTTGCTGCCGAAAATCTCAACAATAATCTATTAAATAAAGTACTACAGTTCTAGCAGAGAGATAATTTATCGCATGCTACAAATTCCCCATTTCCTCCATATAATAATTCCATCGCTGCAACTGAACCGCAATTAAATATTTTTTCAACAACCCGACTACCACTCAAGATCAAAAAAGTCACTGAACATTTCGACATGTAATTTTAGTTGTTCGATCCATATGATAGAAGTACGAACACATGTATTTTACATCTGTACAATGTCATAATTACAGGGAAGTGCATTTAATATTAATGACAGGCCATTAGAGGGAATGGGCAAAATGACTGACTTATTCACTTCACTTGATGTCAGATGAATTATTTTTACCGATTTTTTTTTTCAATTACCTCATCAAATGAAAAATTACAGAAATAAATCAATTGCTTTTACGTTATTTGGTGTAAATTATAATTTGAGAACATTTTAAGAAGATATTCTCTAGAAAAAATGCAGTTCTGATAAAAGATCAGAAAAGTTTCTTGTATAGATCAAATATTTAAGGCAGAGTTTTCATAGATGGCTGGAAGGTTTTCTGACAGAAACCCAGCAGGCCTTCTCATAGAAATCCACCAGGTATTTTTTATAGAAAACCAACAAGAATTCTCATAGAAGACCAAGAGATATTCTCATAAAAGAGCAGAAGGTCTTCTCATAGAATAGATGAAGGCCTTCTCATAGACGACCAGAAGTTTTTCCCAGAGAAGAGCAGAAGGTCTTCTCAGAGAGAAGAGCAGATGGTCTTCTCAGAGAAGAGCTGAAGAAGGTCTTCTCAGAGAAGAGCTGAAGAAGGCCTTCTCAGAGAAGAGCTGAAGAAGTTCTCCTCAAAGAAGACCAGAAGAAGGTCTTCTCAAAGAAGATCAGAAGAAGGTCTTCTCATAGAATACCAAGACTATATAACCAAATGATCTTCTCTTAGAACACCAAAGGATCTTCTGATAGAAGACCAAAGGATCTCCTCACAGAAGACCACAGGTCTTCTCACACAAGACGGGAAGGCCTCCTCAAATAAGACTGGAAAGTCTTCTCATAGAAGAGCAAAAGGTCTTCCCACAGAAGAGCAGAAGGTCTTCTCACAGAAGGGCAGAAGGTCTTCGCACAGAAGAGCAGAAGGTCTTCGCGCCGAAGGGCAGAAGATCTTCGCACAGAAGAGCAGAAGGTCTTCTCATGAAAGACCAAAGGGTCTTCTCATGGAAGACCAAAGAGTCTTCTCATGGAAGACCGAATGGTCTTCTCATGGAAGACCAAGGGGTCTTCTCATGGAAGACCAGAGGGTCTTCTCATGGAAGACCAAAGGGTCTTCTCATGGAAGACCAAAAGGTCTTCTCATGGAAGACCAGAAGGTCTGCTCATAGAAGACCAGAAGGTCTGTTCATAGAAGACCAGAAGGTCTTCTCAAAGGAGACCAAAAAGTCTTCTCAGAGGAGACCAGAATTTCTTCTCATGGAAGACTGGAAGGTTTTCTCACCAGAAGGTCTTCTCATAGAAGGCCAGAAGGTCTTCTCATAGAAGGCCAGAAGGTCTTCTCATAGAAGACCAGAAGGTCTTCTCATAGAAGGCCAGAAGGTCTTCTCAGAGAAGGCCAGAAGAACTTCTCATAGAAGACCAGAGGGTCTTTTATAGAAGACCAGAAGGTTTTCTCATAGAAGACCAGCAGGTCTACTCATAGAAGACCAGAAGGTCTACTCATAGAAGACCAGACCAGAAGGTCTTCTCATAGAAGACCAGAAGAAGGTCTTCTCATAGAAGACCAGAAGAAGGTCTTCTCATAGAAGACAAGAAGAAGGTCTTCTTATAGAAGACCAGAAGAAGGTCTTCTTATAGAAGACCAGAAGAAGGTCTTCTCATAGAAGACTAGAAGAAGGTCTTCTCATAGAAGACCAGAAGAAGGTCTTTTCATAGAAGACCAGAAGAAGGTCTTCTCATAGAAGATTAGATCAGGAAGGTCTTCTCATAGAAGACCAGGACAAGGTCTTCTCGTAGAAAACCAGGAAGGTCTTCTCATAGAAGACTAGAAGAAGGTCTTCTCATAGAAGACCACTAAGAGTCTTTTCCACGAAGATAACGGAAGATCAGAAAAACGTCTTCTCATAGAAGACCAGAAGAAGGTCTTCTCATAGATGACCAGAAGAAGGTCTTCTCATAGATGACCAGAAGAAGGTCTTCTCAAAGAAGATTAGATCAGGAAGGTCTTCTCATAGAAGACCAGGACAAGGTCTTCTCGTAGAAAACCAGGAAGGTATTCTCATAGAAGACCAGGAAGGTCTTCTCAAAGAAGACCAGAAAAAGGTATTCTCAAAGAATACCAGAAGAAGGTCTTCTCATAGAAGACCAGAAGAAGGTCTACTCATAGAAGACCAGAAGAAGGTCTTCTCATAGAAGAACTGAAGGTTTTATCATCGAAGAGCTGAAGGTTTTATCATCGAAGAGCTGAAGGTCTTCTCATAAAAGACCAGAAGAAGGTCTTCTCAAAGAAGACCAGAAGAAGGTCTTCTCAAAGGAGACTAGAAGGTCTTCTCAGAGGAGACCAGAAGGTCTTCTCAGAGGAGACCAGAAGAAGGTTTTTTCTTAGAAGGCCAGGAAGGTCTACTAATAGAAGGCCAGGAAGGTCTTCTTATAGAAGACCAGAAGAAGGTCTTCTCATAGAAGACTAGAAGAAGGTCTTCTCATAGAAGACCAGAAGAAGGTCTTTTCATAGAAGACCAGAAGAAGGTCTTCTCATAGAAGATTAGATCAGGAAGGTCTTCTCATAGAAGACCAGGACAAGGTCTTCTCGTAGAAAACCAGGAAGGTCTTCTCATAGAAGACTAGAAGAAGGTCTTCTCATAGAAGACCCCTAAGAGTCTTTTCCACGAAGATAACGGAAGATCAGAAAAACGTCTTCTCATAGAAGACCAGAAGAAGGTCTTCTCATAGATGACCAGAAGAAGGTCTTCTCATAGATGACCAGAAGAAGGTCTTCTCAAAGAAGATTAGATCAGGAAGGTCTTCTCATAGAAGACCAGGACAAGGTCTTCTCGTAGAAAACCAGGAAGGTATTCTCATAGAAGACCAGGAAGGTCTTCTCAAAGAAGACCAGAAAAAGGTATTCTCAAAGAATACCAGAAGAAGGTCTTCTCATAGAAGACCAGAAGAAGGTCTACTCATAGAAGACCAGAAGAAGGTCTTCTCATAGAAGAACTGAAGGTTTTATCATCGAAGAGCTGAAGGTTTTATCATCGAAGAGCTGAAGGTCTTCTCATAAAAGACCAGAAGAAGGTCTTCTCAAAGAAGACCAGAAGAAGGTCTTCTCAAAGGAGACTAGAAGGTCTTCTCAGAGGAGACCAGAAGGTCTTCTCAGAGGAGACCAGAAGAAGGTTTTTTCATAGAAGGCCAGGAAGGTCTACTAATAGAAGGCCAGGAAGGTCTTCTCATAGAAGACCAGGAATGTCTTCTCATAGAAGACCAGGAATTTCTTCTCATAGAAGACCAGGAAGGTCTTCTCATAGAAGACCAGGAAGGTCTTCTCATAGAAGACCAGAAGAAGGTCTTCTCATAGAAGACCAGTAAAACGTCTTCTCATAGAAGACCAGGAAGGTCTTTTCATAGAAGACCAGGATGGTCTTCTCATATAAGACGAGAGAGTCTTCACATAGGCGACTGGAAGGTCTTCCCATAAAAGATCCGAATGTATTTTCAAACAAACGATGTACATGGGTAATTTATTTGTTTTGTTTTCAAGTGGCTATTTTTGTCCAGGGGGTTTCCTTCAAAATATCTCCTGCACGTATGTATATAAATACCTATACCTATATATTTCCAAGAAATCACTAATTTTTCCCTTCCATCGCATTCTCATTGTCCAGTTAATTGAAAGGCGTTCTTCTAATGATACTTGTGTCCATATATCACATACTTGGCCCTATCACTTCGTTTCATTGTTCTTCGAGCCCTCCCCTCTCCACTTCTGCCGAAGACTAATGTGATACTAATGTTTGCCAAAGTTCTTCAAAAAGAATGCAATGGCCACTTGAGGCAAATCTCAATGTAAGCTTTTACCTTGTTTTGTTGTCAGATAGATGGGGTTCTCCGTGTTGTTGTTGTGGTTGTATTTCTCTAACGTTGGGTGATACTGAACTCAAGTATTTCTTTTTCCACAATTTTTTCTTTATTTATTTTTGTTTTATAATGCTTAGTTTGAATTTGCAGGGCACAGCAGGTTGGCAATCGGTGGTTCTGAAAATAAATTGAGAAATTAAATTAAATAATTGATTTCCACATATCATCGATATTTACTTAAAATAATTTATTGCTGCCGTAAGTTAGGGAAAGCATTGGTATGAAAGTAGGGCAAAGCATTTGGTACGCATGTTCCGCCCAAAATACGCAAGATTTAGCCGTTTCTTAGCCGTAGACAAATAAACAAATTTGATGGCGAACATTTAAAATATCATAAAATTTGATGAAATAAACACTTATCTTTTCAAAAACAATTAAATGCAAATAAATAAACTTTGTTTTCTGGTTACCAACTCAAAATAAAAATACAGGGTGAGATAAAAAACCTGCAACAGCGTCAAACGCCATAATTTTTACATTTTTTAAATTTTTTTTAATGAAAGCAAAAAATGTAGGAATTAGCATTAAATTGTAGACTAAGTTTACATTTGTTTGAATTGGTCATCTTTGGCACGAATTATGGCCTTAAAACGGCCAATGAAACCGTCACACGTTGCCCGAATCTTGCTCTGCGGTATTTTGGCCCATTCCCGGCGAATCGCTTGCGCTTGAGGTGATCGACATTTGGTATTTTTTTAATGCAAACTTTGCTTTGCAAAATACTCCAGACACAATATTCCAACGGATTGGTATCCGGAGATTTTGGTGGCCACTGTGTGCTGGAAATGAAGCGAGGAACCTCATGTTGTAACCATTCTTGGGTGTCGCGTGCTGAGTGCGATGGTGTTGAGTACTGTCCCAAGGGTACCCAAGGCTTTAATACATCCTCCAAAATATTTTCGCGATAATATACGGCATTTATTCTGATGCCGAATCGGTCGATTAAAACGAGCGTAGAGCGACCATGGGCTGTTATGATAGCCCACACAATCACCATGGCCGGTGCCGGCGCTTGAGTTCTGGTGGCCAACCGAAAGTGCACATTTTCAGCTAACCTCTTTGGCAAGTAAACACGATCATTTTGTTTGTTTACAAACTGCTGGACAACGAACGTTTTCTCAGCGGAGAAAACCAAATTCGACAGGTCACCACTTTCGGCCAAAGGAAGCAACTCCAACATATTTTTGGACATGTAGCAATATGGCGCCCAAGGTGGGGTCCGAACTCACGACCCTGAGTAAAAAAGTCTCAAGCTCAAGCGACTGACGGTCGTGGGTTCGGACCCTACATTGGGCGCCATATTGTTACAGATCCTTTTAAGGCATGAACAATATGGTTCACAGCGTGGGCCCGAGCCCTCGACTCTCAGGTTTAAATTCTCGAACTCCAGCGACGGAGGGTCACGGGTTCGAGCCCCACGTTGGGGCTCGTCATTTTTCACTTCTCTTTTGTAGGCGCCATCTAGGCATCTCCTTGCTCTGCCTAAAAAGGACACGTAAAAATATTTTTGTTTGTACACTCCACCATATGGTATATATGGGTGCTACCTATTAGTGGGCCAGAATCGAACATTTTTTGTAAGGAGAGAACAGACCTACCGAGAACCGCTATTGTCAAGATTCAGTTATTTGGTTGGACATTGTGGTACAACCTTCAAATACAGAAAATCTGGAGATAGGAGAGCCATTTTCAATTCCAATCAGCCTGCATTTAATATGAACCTTTTGGAAAATGCCAACGCTATAGATTTAATAATGCGGACTCTATCGTGATGTCAACCAACAGACAGACATCGCTAAATCGACCAAAAATTCTTTGAGGTCTCCGATCATTATTTCGTGGTATTGCAAATGGAATGACAAATTTAACCTACCCCCTTGCTCGCGACAAGTTTCGCTCCGAGTGAAAATGGACCAATAAAAGAAAAATAAGTAAAAAGGCAGAAGGTTCTTTGAATACCCTCCACCATTTGGAAAGAATTTGGAAATTTTCAAAAAAAAAAAAAAAATAAAATTCTGTTAAAATCCCAAAAATACCGAATATAGCCATTATATTGGGGCCTATATGAATAATGTAGCTAAAATCATCAAAATACTAAAAATAGACGTGGACCTGAATAGACAATTTTCTGTCACAGGCTGTAGTACCTAGTAGGAACTTCAAATACGAAATTTAAATTTCGGTGAACATTGTATCTAAGATCGTCAAAATACCGAAAATATGGAGGTACTGATATATGGGGCCTATACGTAGACCTGGACCTGCATTGAAAATTTTCTACCATAGACTGTATTTAGAGTTCCCATTACGAACTCTAAATACGAAATTTGAATCAACTCCAGTGAATAATGTCGCTAAAATCACCACAATCTCGATTATCGTGGACCTATATAGAGATTTCTCTTCCAGGGGGTAAAGTGCTTAGAAATAATTTCTAGTATGTATTTTTAGGTAATTCCATTGAAAAATCTAGCTAAAATCATCAAAATACCGAATATAGGGAGGTACCGTTATATGGGAGATATTGGATATTGTGGATCTACATAAGGACAGGGCTAAATTGTCTTAGAATTTTACCCTGATAAAAGATATATATACTTTGTCATGTCTAAAATTATTATTTCGATGACTTAGAAACGGAATGGCGGAAACGTAACCATACAATGTATGGCGGAGAGTATAAAAATACTACCACTTATTTATCGAAAAAATGGCTCTCACTCTCTTTTTCTCTCTCTCTCTCTCTCTCTCTCGATAACTTTCTGCTTTATTTTCCATTTACCCTGAATTTCAATTATTTGTATTTTTCCTTGAACAATTAATTTAATATACAACATGATACAACAGTCCATTTTTCTCGAGTGTATGTTTTTGCTCAAGTGCATCTGTACTTCTTGTAACGGTAATGAAAGATTTGAAAGAAAAACATTTAAAATTCATGATCACCCATTGTTTTCGGCCTCCCCTGGGGGGAGATGTATAAACATGTTCGTTCAACAACAATTGAATAATTGAGAATAATTAACAACGATTAGCGCACAAGTACAAGTACACACACCTGCTAGATGAGGTCCCACAAAATATTGTGGAGTAACATCGAATGATGTTCAGTTTTTTTGCTTTTGAAAAAATCTGACTTATATTTAGTTTCATTTTTTTTTTGCGTTTACCTCTTCCTCTTCATCATCATCATCATCTTTTTGGCATTCCATCAATTAAGTTATTTTTTCTTTCTTAAAAATTGGAGTATGAACCTCTTCCGTGACCGTGTGAGTATTCGAGTGTGTGTGCGCTTCTTTATGTTTATATCATCATCATCAGCGGCGGTATTTCGAACGAAATCAAAATCGTTTGATGATGGATTCTTCTACATTTTTTTTTGAAGAACTACCTGCCATCACGTGTCATTGTTTGAAATATTGAAGCCAAAAAAACAAAACATATTTATTGTGAAAATATCAATAATAAATATGGTGAAGTGTGCCAAAAATGAGACATATAATCAGGGTTTTTGTTCTTTTTTCGGAATGTGTGAGCTAACTATAGGTTTGTAGATAATTCGATTGAAAGCTTTTAAAACAACAAGTAGGGCCTGATTGGATATTTTCATTCAACCAGTTTCAATAAGCACATTGAATTATTGAATTCGAATTATTCCATTTGTAATTCGACGGATTCGATTTGTAATTCAAATGATTTAAACCCTTAGCCATATGACTAGAGAGGGTATATATCATTTGATACGATCAAAACGTGCCTCGTCGAAATAACGGTTGTAGACACTAGGTCTCTTTAGACCAAATCCGTTTCAGGACATTTGGGGTCGATCTAGCGATGTCCGCCCATCTGTCTGTCTGCTGGCTTGGTGTACGCCATAACTCTCGAAGGGAGTATTCGATATGGTCCAAACTTTGTACATCGTAATATTAGTATCAAACTTAGATCGAGTTCGGAGATGGATAATATCGACCACTCCTTCCGCTACCTACACCACAAAAAACCAAAATTTTCAAAAAAAAAAAAAAAAAAAAAAAGCAAGTAAGCAAAGGCTACAGTCGAGCGGGGCCGACCGTTGAATAGCCTACAACACTATAATAAACGATACATTTTATATAGGCGAGATACTCGAAAGAATTCCACAAGATATTGTGACAAATAATAAAAGAAAACCATCAGGTTTCGTTCTCTAATTTTCGAATAATAGCAGCTTTAACTAATTTGGTCATTTCCAATTTATTGGTAGATGTTGCACGTAAATGGTCTTCCTAGATCTGGAACCAATATTTCCCAAAGACCGATAATCTCTCAGAAGTGGCAAAAGATTAACATTTATTATTGGTTTTTGACTGAAACGCATCTATATGAGATACAGACATTTGACTATATTCTTCAACGAAATCAGCGTTGACGAAATAGTCAGAAGTGCGTCTTTCCTGCATTTGTGAATTCTCCAAAGAGTCACTGGACATTGAATGGAATGGACATTTTCGTATTTTGTCTACAAAAGTTGGCAAACTATTTCACACATTGAATATTTTTGGATGGCCATCCAAAACTGCTTGGCTTTCGCAATGTCCCCCTTTCAAATGTGCGTGAGGATCGGGCGATAATTACGACCTTCCGACAATTTTGCAGTTTTGTTGGTCCATTTCAACCGCTAAATATATGGCGATCATTTCCAAAAAGAGTAGGCTTCTATTCTGACCCTCATCTGATCCCCATGCAAAATTTCGTTAGGATCGGGCCATAAATGCGATCTGTATATGATATCCTGATATCCTAACTACTTAGTTTTGTTAGCTGTAGAAATATTACCAAATGTTTAATTCAAAATGAAAATATGCCAAAAATATGACAAAATTGAAAAAATATGAGAAAATTTTAAAAAATCAATATTTTCATCTTTAGAGAGATATTTTTATGCGATTTTTTAGACGTTTTTTCTTTCCTGCCAAGAGGCCATTCTGAATTAATGAGAACTGTCGAAATCGGTTCAGCCGTTCTCGACATATAAGGGATCTTTCAAGCATATCTTCTTTGATAGACATATATATCGAACATATTTTGCTATATATCCGATTTGTTGGAAGTAACCTTGTCATGGCTTTGTTATTTCG